AGCAAAATGTGAATTTGGTTGTGCTACAGACACATATCTAGGTAAAGAAGTCGGTAGTGGTCAAGTTTGTCCTCTGAACTTTAAGATCAACGCTATCCTTGATTTTCCAGTCCCAAAGACTAGGAGAGAGCTTTGGCGATTTCTCGGTATGACCGGTTATTATCGCTGTTTTTGTAAGAATTTTTCTGTTGTTGCCAGTCCTCTCACGGGGTTACTCCGTAAAGTTGTTTCTTTTAAGTGGACTCCTGAATGTCATTCTGCTTTTGAAGCTCTGAAAACTATGCTCTGTAGTGCCCCCGTACTGGTTACACCTCATTTTGGAAAACAGTTTCTGTTAGAAGTTGATGCCAGTGGTACAGGCGTCGGTGCTGTTTTATTGCAGACCGGAGAAGATGGTTTGAATCATCCAATCAGTTTCTTTTCTAAAAAGTTCCTCAAACATCAACTGAACTACAGTACTATAGAAAAAGAAGCCCTTGCATTAATCCTTGCCTTGCAACACTTTGAAGTGTACAGCCTATTAGATATAAGGACCGCCCCAAACACTCATCTGGGGCCTTTGAGCCTCGTTGACTTCATACCATTGTGTTGCGCTAACGTTCTGATTAACTGTTTCTTGCCATTGTTTGTATCGCCGTCGTTTGTTGTAGGGTTGAGAGAGAGAGATATTCTGAGTGTATTGAATCTGTTTAGTATTTATTATTGTAAGATCCAATTCTAAAAACCCCGATTTATCTGAACATTGCTCGTCTTGACTACAATTTCGATTCTGATTCTGCTGTGTGTACGCCCGGAAACTTTGTAAATTCTGGTAAATACTAGTTTGCCAAATTTAGGGACGTAGGGGGTTAGACGCCATTTTATTTATATGTATCTTTTCTTTACTTTGTTTTTGGTTGAGGGAGGTAGGGAAGTTGATCTGTATTTTGTTTTTATCCGTTTGAGGTTATTTAGTTGTCAAAGAAAAGTCTGTTTTGTTTATTGTTTTGGCCTTGTCTGCCCCTTAAAGAAAATAAAATTGTTTATTTGGCATCTCTCTGGTGTGAATTCAAATCCTTTTTCTGTTACGGCTTACCCCTAGAGGTCGTAACACCCAGTCAAATACATTAAAGCACTGCTGCTTCAAGCCCATTATGCTTTAACAGTAAATCAACCATGAATCTGTTTAGTATTTATTATTGTAAGATCCAATTCTAAAAACCCCGATTTATCTGAACATTGCTCGTCTTGACTACAATTTCGATTCTGATTCTGCTGTGTGTACGCCCGGAAACTTTGTAAATTCTGGTAAATACTAGTTTGCCAAATTTAGGGACGTAGGGGGTTAGACGCCATTTTATTTATATGTATCTTTTCTTTACTTTGTTTTTGGTTGAGGGAGGTAGGGAAGTTGATCTGTATTTTGTTTTTATCCGTTTGAGGTTATTTAGTTGTCAAAGAAAAGTCTGTTTTGTTTATTGTTTTGGCCTTGTCTGCCCCTTAAAGAAAATAAAATTGTTTATTTGGCATCTCTCTGGTGTGAATTCAAATCCTTTTTCTGTTACGGCTTACCCCTAGAGGTCGTAACACCCAGTCAAATACATTAAAGCACTGCTGCTTCAAGCCCATTATGCTTTAACAGTAAATCAACCAGCCCTGTTCAGAGACCTGTCTATTTCTAAATAATACATAACTACCTTCCAAGTACTTTATGTTAGTGCTGCCTACAGTACAGCAACATGGTAGCATTGGTTATTTTGTAACTGTATAACTTTGGCTCAAATATTGACACATTTAAAGGAAACATGCACTGCTGGATCTGCATTAAAAAAGTGGCTAGTTTAAAGTTATAAAATATAATTAATACTAATTATAAGAATACTCCATTACTGTCAGAAAATTTCCTGAACAGGAAGGAAACAAATCAGCAAGACTAACAAAAATAGTCTCTAGTGGGCACCCTCTCTCTGCACACGCACAAAAGCCGGATGAGGATAATGTACTGACAGTAAATGGCCTTAAGTGTAAGACCATGATTAATGCTTGCTGTCAATCTCATTTGCCTCCAGGTGGAAACCTTAATGAGAAACAAGCATTTCCTCTGTTGAGTAAAGGGATAAAACACATGGGTACTCACACAAAACTCTGTAAACACTGTAATTCCAGTGGGTTTTAAAAAGTCTTGCTCTCCTGTAATTGAATAAAGCTTCAAGCCATGAGAAGTCATGCATTATTGTGACTTTACCAAATGGCGACAACAACAATGATAAAGAACACAAGTGTCACCATTTTCATTTTATACTTACAGTCTGAAGATGGAACATACCCCTATCCCAGCATACTAAACCTTAGGGCATAACATGTCCCATACCATTTCTGCTGTGAACATGAATGATACCTCAAATAGCGCAGCTTGAGGTGTGCTATTGCTTTTCCAAGCAATGGGACGAAGGCTCTCAACAGGGCAACAATAAAACGGCTGAAAAAAATGCACTGAAAGATGGACCCAGGTCATATCTAGGGACCACAATATCACAGAGACCTGGAGTGGGCTCTTTTGGCCAGTTGAGCAAGTACCGTCTAGCAACCTAGCAACTAGGGCTGGGCGATATGGCCAAAAACATTATTACAACATTTTTCCCATATCATATGGTATTGATTAAACTCCACAGAGAAAGCTACATTTTAATTTAGGGAACTAGGCATGGGCCGATTACCGGAATCAAGGTATACCGCGATTTGAAAATTTCACGGTTTCAAAACCACTAATATTTTCCGTTATACCGTTCCTGCGGTATGCGCTGTTTTTCATGTCTCCTCAAAGACTGAAAGTGTAGGAATCCCTCAGGTTGAGTGCAGTCAGTGTAGAGAGTAACACGTCTCCTCCAGTTGGTGCGAGCGAGCGGACCGAACTTAAGGAGCTGCCCCTGGAACTTACTTGATCGGCAACCGGACGTTTTTTTGTCTTATTTCAACTCGTCTCTGTTCTGGACTTGCACAAACTGCGTTGCAATGCAATAATTTTCCAAAATGTCATTTATGTGAAAATATGAAGTCTGTAAACGACCGTTAACACAGGCCAGAGACACTGAAGACGGATGCAGAAAGAAAAATACTGTAGCAGGCAGATCACTCACTGTTCATGATGCACGACCTATTGGAAGAAAATCCTCAATATTGATTTGGGTGTTTATATGAATGTGTTTCTGAGGGGAACTGACTGTCTTCAGAAAAGTTTACGTGGTATTTTCTTTTCATCTCGTCTCTGTATAGCTTATATTAAAGCAGTGTTTCAGGGCAGCGCTGCTTTGTTTACAGCGGTAACCAAAGAAACACTGTATCTGGTGTTCCAGAAGCGCCTCCTGCTGTCAGAGAGTGAATATGAGTCTCATTCAGAGCTTCTGCTGTTTGTTTCGTTCAGGCATGTAGTATAATTCATAAAGCTAGTCAGAACATTCCGTTTTTGCTTCAAATCGGGTTATTATATCATATCAAATTATGTATATGAAATTATAAAACTAAATGATATGAAATGACATAAAATTATATGTACAGTGGGGAAAAAAAGTATTTAGTCAGTCACCAATTGTGCAAGTTCTCCCACTTAAAAAGATGAGAGAGGCCTGTAATTTTCATCATAGGTATACCTCAACTTTTGGAGTGTGACTGTTTGAGGTTGTGGACAGGTGTCTTTTATACTGATAATGAGTTCAAACAGATGCCATTAATACAGGTAATGAGTGGAGGGCAGAGGAGCCTCTTAAAGAAGAAGTTACAGGTCTGTGAGAGCCAGAAATCTTGCTTGTTTGTAGGTGACCAAATACTTATTTTACCGAGGAATTTACCAATTAATTCTTTAAAAATCCTACAATGTGATTTTCTGGATTTTTTTTCTCATTTTGTCTCTCATAGTTGATGTATACCTATGATGAAAATTACAGGCCTCTCTCATCTTTTTAAGTGGGAGAACTTGCACAATTGGTGGCTGACTAAATACTTTTTTGCCCCACTGTATATGAATAATATAACTAAAATTAACTAATTACAGATTTAGGTTAAATAAAGTCAGTCTTTATTTTTTCTTCTTTTTAGGAAACAAATCAAAGAACAAAATAAACCAATTCTACTGTTCCTAATATTCTGTATGTTGCTCAAAAACAAAATATATTTTGTTCAGCGGAATTTTTTTTTTTTTTTTACCCAGTCATTAAAAAAAAAACACATTTTAGAGCTGTAACGACAATACTGTGATACCGTGATATTTTTGCTTAAGGTTATCATACATACCGTCAAAATATCATACCGGCCCATGCCTATAGGGAACCATAAAATCAATTTTATTTTCCCCTAAATTCTGTGTTTTCTGTGCACCAATCCTTCACACAGAGACACACAGAACTTGCAGACTTATTAGCGACATGCACTGACCGGCTGTTTTATTTCTGCTGTATGACAGGCTGTCAGATTAATCCATACAGAGTGAAAAAAAACCCAAAACTTATCATCGTTAACAAAATAAATTTCATGATCTTAAAATTATATCGTTTACTGCTCAGCCCTAATGGCAACACTCTGGAAGTCTGTGGAATCAATACAGTTCTCACATCCATCATAAGGACATGCTTTGACACCAAGTACTACAGTTACACGAACTGACATTTCCAATCAGACCCGAGATACACCTCACATTAGCCATCCCTCTCTGTGAGCATGTCGGAGTGCCAAATCTGACCGCATGCCGCGTGGGCTGAAGCCAGGACACACCACACTGGATGCCTTATAAGTCCAAAAACCTCTTTCTGCCTCTCATCATCCAGCCCATACTCCCCCACTCTTTCTTCTTTCCTCTTCCAGAAGACGTCTAAAGCACTAAATCTATTAGCTAGCACATTCTTGTGTTTTTGGGTCTTCACTCAATAACGAAATAAAAGAAAAGTAAACTGCCAGACTGTTTCAGATAAGAAAGAGCGAGAGTAGAAGAGTGAGGGAAGGAAGAAAGGGGCTTATTTTTTATAACTCACCTTAGTGAAGAATACTGAGAGATGAGTCTCGCTGCCAAGGATCCAAATAGGGAACTTTGGAGATTTGAGAAATGTGCCAACCTTTAAATGCAGAAAAAAAGAAACAGCAGTTGAGTGCCAATCTCCATACCGATGCCATGACGGCCTGGCCAGCCACATTGCAGAACCATGACGAACAGGTTGATTCACTGCGATAATTGATTGGTAATACTTACAGGAACTGCCAACTATTCAATCATTCAGCTTATGAAAATGATAGGACGCCAATTTACACATTAAACACTAGAACGCTCACTATAACTGATTATGAATAGTTGATTGTATTATATGAGCACTGAAACATGTTCTACATCAAGGGTGGTGAACATGAATGGCTCTTGCTATAAAAAAGGTTCCACATCCCTGATCCACATTACAAATGCTGCACGTAGTGCTGGGCGGTATACCGGTTCATACCGAATACCGCTGTTTATTTTTGTTATGATATGCATTTTTAAAATACCGCAATACCGGTGTATGTCACTTAAACAACGTTCAGAACGCGACACTGTTTGAAAGGGGTCCCTTTTCACTGTTGCACTGTGGTGAGGGAACAGCTGTATGTGTTACTAAGCGTGAAAGTTCCGAAACTGAAGCTGTAGAACTAACAGAACGTGATGACACAAAAGAACTCATCCACAATATTCACATTGACTGCCACAAATATCCACTGCCCCCTGCCATCAGCTCCCATGTCTCACACACGAGCGCGACTTTAGCACTAGATTTTGCAACTTTCAGACCCTTTTAGAAGACAAAATGAACAAATCTTTTTTCGAGTCATTTCGTTCATTTTAGCAAAATATAATTAAAATGTTACGTATCGGACACACTTCCCTAATACGTCTACTACTTACGCAAACTTTGATCACACTACAAACAATACAAAACTGCTATAAGAAACAGAAAAGATGAATTCATTGTTTACCTGGGTCTTCAGTCTATGATTAGCTCACCTCACCTCTTATCTGACAAGTCTTCGGGTTTGGGCTTATGGGGCTGTCACGTGATGAATGAACGACTCAAAACCGAAGACTCCAGAGATGAACTAATCAATTCTCTTTCCGGCTCACACTGCATTGGTTAAAGCTTATGGGGCTGTCACGTGATGAATGAACGACTCAAAACCGAAGACTCCAGAGATGAACTAATCAATTCTCTTTCCGGCTCAGACTGCATTGGTTAAACTTATGGGACTGTCACGTGATGAACGAACGACTCGGAAAAACCTGAGGACTCGAAACAGGTGAACTACTTGACTAATTCCAGTACAGAACCTATAGGATGTTGCGCATGCGCGACTGAACGAATCACTCCCCGAGACGACTCGTTCATCCCGAGTCACATTAAAGATTTGTTCAAAATGAACGAATCGTTCAAGACCGACCTAACACTAATAGCCGCTCTTTAGTGTAGATGCATGGTTGATTTTATCAGACGATGCTGCGATTATAAATGAGAGTGACTCCTGGTTAACATGTATTAAAAGGGGTCGTGTTTAGTCACTATTTAGTGTGGTATTTTTGACAATATTCACTCATCATGACGGTAAAATAGGGCATTCTAAGTAAATATACTGCAATATTTCCTCTCTCAATCAGTAGAAAATATGCTTAACACCCGGTCATGCATGAAAAAAACCCCCGTCATGTACCGTGAAACCGGTATAATTTTGAAAAATACCGTGATATAAATTAGTCATACCGCCCAGCACTAGCTGCACGCACAAAAAAAACACATCCACCAATCAAAACCAAATCAAAATGGAATGAGATGAGAGTCAGCAGTTTAACCCAAGACTGCAGAATTATTCAAGAAAACAGAGTTCAAAGTGTAGCTCCGCACACACTACCTACAGCTCGATCTCCAGCAGTGCATCCCAACACTGAAAGCCCTCACACTCAGCTCACATCACTCAACAGGTGAGTATCAGCAGCAGATTTGTGCGGGAAGGCGTTCCAGGGGTGTACAGATTAAAATGATCATGAATATTGTGATGGAGGCTCATATGGTTCTAAATATGAGGCGATACATTCCTGCATTCCTCTAGTCCAAACACAGCTCACAGCACATATCCTGAAGCTCTGCTTAGCACAGTGCCATTCAAAACAAAGCAGCTTCTTAATTACTTTCTCCACAAGTTAAAACAATAGTCAATTCCTGCCCAGGCTCATTAAACATACAGGATGCATGCGCTGGGTGCCAGATATCTGATGTTTACCCTTTAGAGGGCAACACATTGGTTAGGGAGCAGAGAGACATTTAGCTTCTGAAAAAAATACTACTAACCAACTAAAAAGAAAAGAAAAGAGAGAAATAAAAAAAGGGTAGATGATAAAATAAGAAACGGTAAACAGAAGAGAAAAAGGAAGGACATGAACAAAAATTAAAAAAATAAACGAAACAAAGAAAATGGAAAAGAAAAAAAAACACAGAATTTTAAATTTCCATAATTGTTTTGTGTGAGAACAAACCTAGAAAATGTCTGTTCCTCATCATAAAAATTCTTCAAAAACTGAAAAAAAGAAAAGAAAAGAAAACAGCCTGACAGAGTGATGACTGTGACACTAGTCTATTCAATGCAGTCTGTATTTCTGTAGGTTATGTTGCAATTACATTTCACAAATTCCCTGTGAGATGTACGGCTGGAAAACAGCAAAACCACAAAGAAACTGTGAGCTTTGGCATCTAGACACACTGCATCTTTCACACAACACTTGCCAAAATTGGTTTCCATATTTATGTACACTGTAGACAGTGAGAACACCATCTATACCACATGAATTATAAATCTAACTACAGTATTGTAAGCTACTGTGAGGGTGCTTATGAGTAGACACCCACCTTGCAATAGCGCAGTGACTCCATTAGTGTGAGGAAGCCAACAGGGGCCTGCTGATGGATGCCACGAAGCTCTAGAGCAAACAAAAATAAAAGAATAATTAAATTCCTGTCAACTGCACAAAAATAAATAGTCCAACATAAAACACTTTGAAACCTAAAGACCGTAGCATTCTCTCAGCAGGCATTTATTTTTAAAGAGTGTTAAAACTTGAGCAAAACATTAGCTAATGCTGCCACTAAGTGGTCTGCAACAGTAGGACATACTGTGACTCCAGTTATTTCAAACAGACAGCATGTCAACACATTAATATTAGGTAAAAACATGAAGCATACTCATTCCAGAACATTCTCTATCACCGTCCCACACGTTAGACACAGCATGACCCGTCACCAGAAGGTTGATTAGACTCTGGCTACAAAGTACGGAAAGAAAAGGTTAACAAAACAGTCAGCACTCACTATAAATGTACATTGCAGCTTAATATATTTTTTAAATGTGTTATGATAAACAGTGCTATAAAACAGAATTACACAACACAAGATAAATCTACCAGAATACAATCCAATAATTAGAACAGCTGCCTAAAATCACACAATCATGCTAAGAACTTGAACACCCATCGTGCATTTTACCTGCCATGGCCGTACACAGGGTCTATCAGAGGTTCGGAGGTGTCTTCAATCTCATTCTTTATGTTCTCAATTCCCTATAATTTCAAGTCAGACCATAAATACATACACACAGACACATGAATGAGCATGGCGGGCAAATGACATGCGCTACAAAGGGCATAATTTGCCATGTACGCTATTGTTCAAAAGTTTGCAGTCAGTAATTTATTTATTCACTTTTTAGCGCCATGCCAGCATCAAGGCTATTTTCATGGCGATCTCAGAATAAATTACACAAGGTATACAATTAACAAAAAGTTATAAAAGACGTTTCAAATCTACACTAGACAAAAATTCTAAAATACATTCAGGCGACATTTTTAACCCTTTAAGCCCGAGGGGACACCACCTGCACGAAAAAATTCTAAATCAAATTACTAAGCAACCCCTGAATGGAATAACTAAATATAGGTATCATTTTAAAGCTTAGAATCTCAGCTTTTTAATGAATGTATTTATTTTGATCTACTCTTAACGAGTGCTGAGCAGCCCCTCTAAATCGAAGTGTACCACGGGTGGGACGCCCCCCCTCCGCGACAATATTACTAATCATATATTTCAAACCACTGCCTTTGTCAACAAAAAAAGGGTATCATTTGAAAGCTCAGAATCAGACCACTTTGATTAACTCCAAAGTAGTGCCGAGCTATTTGCTGATAAATGAGAAAAAAAAATTCATAATTTACAAAATGCTTTTTTTGTGCCATGTACTCTAATATGTCAAAAACATCATACAGCTCAGATAGTCATGTGTCATATGTCATTTGAAACATCTCATCGAGTTGAATAAACTGGAGCAAGTTTTTTTACAAGTCACCCCCAGACCCATATTAAAATAATATATTGATGTCACTGTTTTACTTGTAACTTCATAAAACATGAACAGCTCGTGGAAAATTGGCACCATTATTTAGAGCAGATTCTCCCGATTAAAAAGAGCCCAAAACCACTATAAATCGGTCTTTAGATATAATTTATATCTAAAGATTTTCCTCATGAATTTATAACACACATAAAACTGCACAGGCGGCATGTAGTCTAGCCAAAAAATCTAAGGTAGCTGTCATGTGGAGATTTCGCTCGTAACTTCATGAAACATGCATCTATCATAGAAAACAACACATCGTTATTTGCAGAAAATTCTCCCGATTAAAAAGAGCTCAAACTCACCATAATCCATCGTTTAGATCTAAAGATATAACACATAGAAAAGAATTAGGTCATGCAGCTTAGCAAAAAAAATCAGAGGTTGCAGTCCTGTGGTGTTTTTGCTCGTAACATGCATAGATCTTGAAAAACCACACGGCATTATTTTCAGGAAAAATTCTCCCGATTAAAAAGAGCCCACATTTACCAAAATCCGTTGATCAGATCGAAAGATTTCGTTCATAGAGCTGTAACACATGAAACCAGACAGGCACACTGAGGCGCGGCAAAGAAAAACAGCTCTACGCTTAATGTTGTGTTTTTATTCGTAACTTCACGAAACATGCATAGATCTTGAAAAACCGCACGTCATTATTTTCAGAAAATTCTCCCGATTAAAATTAGCCCAGAGTTACCATAATCCGCCGATGAGATCCAAAGATATTGCTCATATTGCTATAACACATAAAACCCAATGGGCGTGCTTCAGGCACTGCAGGACAAATAACTGGTTTCACGTTGTGCTTTTATTCGTAACTTCATAAAACTGGAGAGGTGCGGATATCGCGTTTAGTCTCGTTCTGTATCGCGTATCTTGTCAGTGTCTGCGCTTGCTTGGCCATTTGTTGTGGAGAAAATAAGGAAAGCGTGTTCAAGCGCCAGCAGAAAACAAGTGTAAAGAAATACTCTTTGAGAGAAGCAGTCTTTATCAGCGGTAGTTAAAAGCAGCTCGTAAGTGTATTTACTCGTCTCATTAGTGTTTAGTGCAGTTGTCTTTGCTAGGAAACGCTTGTTTTGTTTACTGTGTGGAGACGTGCTGGTATCGTGTTTGGTCTCGTTCTGTATCACGTATCTTGTCAGTGTCTGCGCTTGCTTGGCCATTTGTTGTGGAGAAAATAAGGAAAATGTGTCCAGCGGAATTAATTTAGTATTTTGGTAGACGGGTATATAAAAAAAAAAAACGTAGTTTACCGCGGCAGCGGTCGTGTGAAGGCCTCCTCGTGTGAAGACCGAAGAGTGTAAAGACCATCGACTCTACCGGGCAGGAGACCGGCAAAGGACATAAGTATCGCTTTTTATCTCTCCTCTTTCCCATTACTTGTTTCACTTCTGTTTCAGTTTTTATAACCATTTCTTACTATGTGCAAGTAAGTTGTTGTTTTTTAACATGTGTGTTTGGCAGTGTTATTTTTTAGGATTACTAATAAACTACTGTCGGTTGATTTGTATTAGTTATTTTAATTTTAGTTAAATTATGTCTGAATTTATTATGTCTGTTTAGGTCTTTTATTAAGTTTTATTTTTATTTCATTTGAGTTATTTTAATACTTCAACAAACTAAATGGAAATGAAATAATATATATTGAATTAATAAATGTGTATATATGTATATGTATGTGTGTGTGGTTGTACATATATGGAGTTTTTTTTGTGTGTGTGTTTGGCTTAGTGTTATGTTAGAATCATTATTATACTCTTAATCCTTTTGTTCTTTAATATTTTGAATTGTTTTTAGCTTTATTTTTTGTTTTTCATTTAAATGTTAAGTTTTTAAATTTTGTTGTATGCATTTGTCATTTTTATTTCATCTCTATTTTTAAAATGTGTATAGGTAGTATTTATAAAGTTTTAGCTTTTAGTTGTTTTAATACTACAATTGATTGCTTCTGTTGTCCTCATTTGTAAATCGCTTTGGATAAAAGCGTCTGATAAATGACAAAATAATAATAATAATGAAAAAATGCATAGATCATAGAAAATTGCATGTCATTATTTTCAGAAAATGTTCCCGATTAAAAGGAGCCCAAACTCATTGTAATTCATTCATTGGATCTAAATATATTACTTACGATGTTATCACACACATGAAACCATTAAATTAAGAAAGATATAGGTTAAATATAGGTTTTCATTCATAACTTCACGAAACATGCATAGATCTTGAAAATCGCACATCATTATTTTCAGAAAATTCTCTTGATTAAAATGAGCCCAATCATACCATAATCTGTCATTTAGATATAAAGATATTAGTCATCAAATTATAACACATACAACTCCAAATGCGCACGTTGCAATATTCTCATGTTTTTTTTACACTTATCATTTCATGAAACATGCTCCGATTGTGGAAAATGGCATATCATTATTTTACAGCAGATTCTCACGATTGAAAGGAGTCCAAAATCAAAATCCATTGTGTCTTTCGTGTATAAATAATACCTAAACCCATGAATTGAAGAAATCAGTTGGAGAGCTCCATTGAACACTTGGCAAGCAGAATGTAAAACCTAGAATGTCTATTTTAAATTTATAAATTAAAAAAAAAAAATTATAATTAGGTATCATTTTAAAGCTTAGAAATTCAGCTTTCGAATGCATCCAACCATTTTGATCAACTCCTAACCAGTGCTGCCTAGTTCCTCTAAACTGAAGTGTACCGCCGGCGGGCGCCCCCTAGCGAAGAAAATTTTATTATTATTTTTTTCTAAATATCTGCCTTAATCTATGGAAGCCCGTTTCCACCACCGAATCAAAAATATATATAATTCTGTAAGTCATAATAATGAGAAACTTTCTCGAAATAATGACTTAACCTAATCCAAAAAAAAAGACTTCCTCGGCGCCTGCGGAACGCAAGAGTGACAGCACGCTAGCGCCATCTGTTGGTCAAAGCCATGCAGGAACACCGCTAACATTGCTTTGTTCTGTAATCTAAAGTGTATCATGCTATAGTCTGTCATTAAATAACGATTTCAGATCAATTATCTGTATGTAGTCTTTTGTGTAATAGTTACTCTGCCAGATAGTTATGGCTTCAAACATTCTAGACCAATATTTCAGTTAAGAAATCCAGGCATTTTATGAAGAAATGAAAGCCATTACACATATAAACTTAATTTATAGATGTGTACTTCGATGATTTATTAGCTGTCCCTTTCATGCATCACATGCAATGTTTGCGGAGTTCCTGCATGGCTTTGACCAACAGATGGCGCTAGCGTGCTGTCACTCTTGCGTTGCGCATGCGTCGAGTAAGCCTTTTTTTTTGTGGATTAGGCTAAGTCATTATTACGAGAAAGTTTCTCATTAT